AATTTACCGCCCCTGGTGGTGATAGCCATGAAATGCCCATCCTTTTGAGCATTTTGGATAGTGTGACTTTGTAGTGACCCATTCTTCCTTCGGTTCAGTGAGGTTAAGAGTTTCACCTACTGTTTTCCAATTTATTTAATGGAGGTGGTGTGAGAGTCCGCCAACTAACTCATGCTTGAGAAATAACCTCTTATTTCTTTCACCCCTTCATCATTTTATTCAACTTTCTAGAGTACCTTAGACATCATATCTTCAACCTTAGAACAATTAGAACTACCACTCTCCCGGTCTCTATTGCCTGGGGGCACATAACCACCACTGCGATAAATCTTATATCTATCTCTGTTCTATAGGTTTCCCTGATCTCAATTTGTTGGCCTATTATACTGACCATCCCTAGCATAGTTTTGACCTGCGTTGCAAGAATTATAACCCTGATTTCCAGAATAATAATTTTTGAAACCTCCATAGTTCCTCAAATAGTTAGCTTCTTAATCTAGGTCAATATCCTGATCTTCATAATTATTTTGTCATCCCACAACATTTATCTTTTCATACTTGGCCATAATCTACTTTGTGCGAAGATCTATTTTCATCCTCATGTGTGCCATGTCTAAATCTCTTTCTTCTTATCTCTTCTAGATACTCATGTGTGCCATGTCTTGGTCTATTTCTTCTTTTCTCTTTCTTTTTAAGCTTGAAGCTCAAATGTATAACCAAGATTTTTTACCTCTGCATCTCTAGTGTACAAAGCCATGTTAATCTTTGACACTACATCTAACAACTACATTCTCTCCGAGAATGGCTTTCTGATGACTGAACCTCCTTAAACTGCACCAACAAGAGGTTTAGTAAAATAGTTTAAAGATCTATAGAAATATTGTTTCAAATGCCTCTCGGTAAGATCATCGTAAGGACATTTTTTAGCTTTTGGCTGAATCTACACAAAGTCTCATGCATTACTTCTCCTAGTAGTTGTTTGTGTGTACTGATCTCGTCTTTCATCTACATGTCTTTTGATCCTTTGAAGAACCATTGCAGGAACGAATCTTTCAACTTAGTCCAAATTTTGATAGAGTCATATGGCATCTTTTGAAACCAGTTAGTTGCCTCTCCAATAAGAGACAGTGGAAACAACCTCAATCTCATAGTTGTTTGGCTCACTCTAGGAATCTCTTGTGACAAACAAATACCCACAAACTTCATCAGATGTTGTTTGCATCATCACCAGATGCACCCCTAACCATACCTTCTACACCCCTAACCATACCTTTTAGGTTCAACAATTGAATCATATTTTTGGTGATTGTGAACTTAACACCTAGTGGTAGTGCAGGCAACACTATAACTCCTATAGCTCCAGCTACATCCAAGTCAACATGATCTTCTTCATATATTATTTGAGTTTGATGTTGAGCTCTATCCCTTGGGGCTATTGGTTGGCGTAGGGGAGGGATTAATTCTTCCACCCATTTGTTATTATCTACTACGTTAAGTTGATTAAGTCTAACATTTTTCTTGGCACTTTCCCTAGGTTGATTGATTTCAGCAGTTTGTTGAACATTCCATGTAGCATCAATTTCAGTTTATAAGCCTAGTATGTGGCTCTAATCCTCATGTTCTTGTGCACTAACAACTTTCTAATAGTTTTCTGAAATTTTGGGTCGTAACAAAGCAATAGGTTCCTTTACTTCTAGTGTTGGTCACACACAAGCGAAGAAAATCTTGTAAAACACTTCTGAATTGAAATTCCTCGATAGCGGTGCAAAAATTTTATACGTCCAAACTTACAATCCAAATAAAAATATTAAATGGTCAATGTCAATATTCATATTTCAACAACAGTTGAGGTTGATTCCACATAGAATTTCCTTACAGATAAGGTTTCACCATCACGTTTATTCGAATGTTGTTCTTATATCCTATCAAATAACAAAAGAAAGAAAATTGGATTTGGTTGAAATGTTTGAATTACCAAAATTTATATTCAAAATATATATCCACAACTGAAAACCTATTTTGTTGTAAGGTAGATTTAGTTAATTAAGATAAAGCAAGATTACGTTCACCATAACATTAGTTTTAGTATTTTTCGGTAATTTGTGCTTTAGGTAAATCAATGTTTACAGAATCATTTTGAGTTAAGCTTATCTAACACTTTTTAGCCTACTCAGGTAATAATCCCTCATGTTCTCTCGACCCTAGAGTGTTACTAACATTGACCCTCGCATATGGTGATAAAGATCTTTTGTCTCGAACTCAAGCTTGAACTCTAATTTATTAATGTATTTCAGCTTTATCCTATCTAATCTTTTTATCTTGAACAAATTACTAGGCACAAGCTCATCTAATGCATGCACTCATTAGATTATAATGACATGGAAAGCTAAAATTATAGGTAGTACATAGAGGCTGACTTTTACTCATTATACAGAATCATAACTAGAATACGTCATGGATCCCACAACCCTAGTCATGGTATTTATCAACTCATGTTTTCACGTGAACAATTAATAATTATGTATAATAAAATGTTAAGAAAGACTTATTAAAATAATTAGAAAAGCAACAATCACTTCGATAATCTTATAATCTGAATTTGAACTTTAAACTTATTAAATAATCAAAATCCCAAAATCAAAGCTAAGAGTAATACTCTATTTTCAGTCGTCAAACTTAAGATAATGAATAATAATATAAAAAGACCTAAAGTAATTCAATATAGTGTGTATAAAATGTTTCCTGATCAAACTAGGACTAAAATGTTGGGTGGCCCTACGGCCACTTCTAGAGCTTGTAAAGGGCGTCACGCACCGTGAAGCCCTCTGTGAATTTCCCTTGCATCTTCTCAAACGTTTTTCTTTAAACTCGATCAGTGGAACTTGCAAAATAGTAGACACCACAAATGTTAATAAGGATAACCACCCGTAAAGTTGGATGTGGTCGTTACTTGTTCGACACAAATTTGAACTCTTTGAAGTCCATCCACAAGTTCTTCATCTCGACGGGTACCATGGTCCTTAATGAGCTTCATGGCCCGTGAAAATGCCTGTGACTTTTACTTGGACCCATCACTTAACAACTTCTAATAACCTCTTCTCTGGTCCAGCATCACAATCACAACTACGGTTCATAATGAGGACCACGGCTGGTAAAGTTATTCGTGATTTTCACTTGTTCAATTTTACTTGCAGCTCCTTTGAGGCCTTACACTTGTTCAGTTTCATGGGTTCAACCACAGACCGTTATGAAGGTCACAGTCCATGAAGTTGTCCGTGAAATGCACTTGATCATCATTAATAAACATATCACAGTATGCAAAAATAAATTTTATTCTAGTAATAGTTCCTCAATTCTAAGCATCAAATGTGCCAAGATTTCTTGGCACATCAGATGCCTTGTACACAATTAAAAAAAAAGTTCAATATTCGTAAACAACCATGGTGTACTGGTCGGATAATGCATCTATGCCACTAAGTGTAACATAATCAAGTTTAACAACATTTTACACACATGCATAAACAATATCGTCACATTTATGAACATCGTATATTTTCACAATTCTCAAGGTAAAAAATTATGTCAAGTAGTTTGTCCTCTCATTGAACCCAAACCAAAACTATAAGCATACCGGAACATGGTACCTAATTCCATAGTTATGCCAGAACGTGGCAATTCGATTCCATTTCTATGTCGAAATGTGGCAAGCTATCTCAATTAGTTATGTCGGAACATGGCAATCCGATCTTTTAACACAAACACAAGTATACTCTTAAAGCATACAATTAAGAAGTAATTCATGACATATAGTTTTTCGTCTATCTAAATTATAACAAGTGTAATTGGTAAGGCAACACTCAAATACATACAAGTATCATAATGCAGAAAGAAAAAACATACATCAAACAATCATAGAATCACATCCATAACCTACCTTAAAACAAGCTTGAAACCCTAAGAAACTAGATCCTTCCCTTTCCGAATTCGTTCCACTTGTTATTGGTCTATCAACTATCAGTATAATATTAAAATCAATAAGCAATCCTTAATTATCCGGATTACTAACAATTCTAACAAACCCTACATCATACCCATGATCTCATGTATCCAAGCAGGGATTTTCCCACTATGGTTTCCAATTCAAAACCCTCTCCCATTGATAATAACCCAATAAAATATGTTCTACGGATCAAAAAATAGCTTTGGAGAGTGAAAACTTACCTTTATCCACAAGAATGGGGGAAAACTGTCAAGAGTTGCATGGGGTACGTTTTTTAGCTCTAAAAATTTAATTGTGCATAATAAGGTCATTTAAGGGTTTATTTAATACCTTAAGTCGCGTCTGGCCTACCACAACGAACCTCACCAATATACAACGGCCCCACCACAGAGACCAATTCCAATGACAGGGCAGCTTGAAAGAAACTGTGAGCTATTTAATTAATTCCAAGAGCTCCATTTCACAACACACCTTTAATAAACAACACTTGGAAAATACCTTTTATGCTAAGATCAATTATGGCAGTTCTACTTATCCGAATTCAGTTTCGTAAATTTGTACGTATGCCTTAATGAGCTATCTAACTACTCATGTAATCAAAATAATAATTAAACGACCTTATTATTACCATATTTAGCGACACCTTAATAGCTTTGATTTCATCTAAATCTAGACTAATTGGGAAATTCCAAATACTAAGAAAAAAATTTACGATCCAAAATTTTTTCCCTGTTGCTTTTCTATTACGAAGAAACTTGGTCATTACAATTACAATTCAAGAGATTTTTTCTGAATTGCATTGTAAATAATTGACTAATAAAGTTATAGTCATATTCGTAACTTTATCTTAATTTAACCTAGCTTTCATATAAAATTCACCTCATATATCTTTACCACGATGGAAGTGCAACAACCCGGGAGTACTCCCTAGACATCACATGATGTACTTGACCTCTCGGAGGTCTTTTACAAGACTCTTATCTTTCATTCATCGCATAGGTATGAAAAAATAGTGTTAAATTAAAACTTTTCAAAATAATGTCAATAAAAATATCTTTTGTAAAATGTAAAAAGAACTAAGTCTCATCATCGCGAGCCATCTTAGACATATATTATTATCATAGGGTTACAACCCTTAATAGAAAAGAAACTCATGGCTACTACAAAGTCTTTAATACAAAGGAAACTAGATATAACATCCTAGTCCTCGAACATATGAGAACCTACCAAGGGCCTTGAGAGAACAATTTTACTTCCAAAGTTTCAACTCTAAGATCCTCAGTTACTTCCACCTAAACTTGTAGTAATAAATAAGAATAAGGAGTTAGTAAAATTAGGCACATATACTTTTCATGCTATTTTGTTCAAGAACCAAGTGTTAAGATATCATACAAGTCAATCATTAATCATACAAGGTAATACTTCTATAAATCTAAACCTTTAACTTAATCATTAAGTAAACCATTATCCATTTAGACCTTCTATCCAAAGTTACCCAAAGACCCACTATGGTAAGACATCAAGAGACCTTCCATACAACCTCTTCAATACACACTAAGTTATCCATAAGAATAATAAAGATAAGGATACTTCCTTTTCGTTAAAACTCAATAACACAACATTTATTCTTATATACGAGAGGAACATTCATGGATTTACAAACTTCACACAAAGACCATCCCCAAGTATAACTACAAGTTACACGAGTGCAATGTGAAACTAGCATCACATTCTACTAATCCCACTTAGTGGTTTTTTGGAACCACACTAGTCTAGGCACCTCACATTCAACCATTCACATAAACTTCATTAACATTAGACATAAGACCTACATGTTATTAACATTATGAATAAAGACAACTTACTTCATCAACATCATATAGTAACCAATTAATTCATTAAAGTTACAAGGACACACCAAGTCTCCCTCTAAATGCCTACTTGTGCAATGCATAGATAGTGTCTCATTCAACCACCTACCCTAAGTAGTACACCCTTAGTAAAACCTTGTTCATTAAGTTCATTTTAGAGGTTTAGCTTTAATTGACATAAACCATGGGTTCTTAACATGGAATCTCGGTATTAACCCAATCAGATGATGGATACCCACTAGCCTAAGGTAGGGTCATTATTTTATCCTTTACGTTAAACACCGTTAGTTATTCCTATGTGGGCGTATAATTAAGGGATAAGGAGATTGCTTCAAAGTACTACATTTCAACTAACAAAGAGTAGCATCTCAAGAGGTTACTTTTGTATACTACATCTCTACTAAGGAAGAGTATCCACCCCTTTATCAAATACTCTCGGTGCTAAGCACTAATCCTTACTAAGTTTTAGACTTTCATTACATTCATTATCTATAGGATAAAGGATTGCTACAAAGTAATATATCTCAACTCATGAAGAGTACTCATCCCAACCTATAATTCATTTCATTGGAAAGCTCTTAGGAATATTGAGGTTGTTACTTGACACTATATTCTCTACTCAAAAAGAGTAGCCACCCCAATATCCCCCATTCATTGATTAGAGTTATCTTGAAAAAACCTTTTAATGGACTCTCATTCATTACATTTTCATTAGCTTTACTCATTCATTCATTCATTGTTTGAATATGTGAGAAAGCATTTCACATAACCACCATAATTCATGACATTGTCTTCTAAACATGATCATACTATATTCATCATAATCCATACAAAACCATACTTCACATTCACATTATACTCCAATAATAACAACATCCTCAAGAATCATATTCATATAATAACCCTCTCTCAACTTTCCAACAATCCATCATAATCAGGCATGAATAGCAATACATAATCATAATACAATATAGTATTAACACAATTCTAAAAATATCCAATTGCATTCATCAAACCCAATTCATAAAACAAGATTAGAGAATTATGATGATCATGGGTCCATGGAGTTCCTTATCATAAAACCATCAATATCATTGAAAAACATCAAAATTCATCGATTTAAACCTTTTGATCCAAGAACCCATGTTTAAAATTTGAAATAGGATTTTTAGGATTTTTGAGATCTTTTGAAAAGCCTTTGAATTGACTCCTTGAATGATAGAAGGATAAATGATGAAATCATCATACCTTAATGAAGTACTATCCACGAAATTTTGGTTGAAAAACTTGGAGAATTTGACCTTCTTTCCTTGGAGCTTCAAAGCCCATCAATGGAGGCTTTGGAGAAAGAGAACGGAGAGCTTTTGATTTTAAACTTGAGAGTTTTGTTTTGATTGGTGATTTAGGGTAAAAATAACTCAAAAAAACGTTTATAATAAAACCACAAAGTACCCAAAAAAAACCTACACAATTTGAAACTTTTAATTAAGTGTAATATTACTTTAAAACAACGCAACCAAATCTGGGACATGACTGCACATCACGGGAACACTATTGATTCTTTGTTCCAGAATTTAATTTGAGGCAAATTGTTTTTGACAATCCCGCATAGTAAGGAACCTTTTTGCCTTATAAGTGCTTGAGGTGCGACGCGCCATGTGCTTCAAAAATAGGTTGTCTGCACGCTTCCTTGGCATCCCCTTCTGTCAAAGCTTGTGTCCTCCTCAAGGACCGTTTTGTCGATCTTTGGGGAATTATACATGGACGTTTCGACCCTAAACTCAATCATTAAGACACTAGGGTCAGCTCCATTGATATTTGACTAAGCAACACATAAAAATAAATACAACATACAAGGACACACTAGTACACACAAGACTAGTTTCCAGACGTCTTGGTCGTCCTTTAACGTTTGACTTGGAAACTCTTTAAAACATACTTAAAAGGCTGATTCTGTAATTTTGACAAGTCATTACTCAATAAAATCATGTGAAGCTCTATATTATCCTAGTTCATTTTGAGGGTCGTTAGACGAAGAGATAAAGTAAAAAATATATCTAATTATATGATCAAACACTTATTAAGTATGGCCCCTCTGTTCTTTTATTTTGTGCTTTGGAGATAAAATTAAATTAATTTTTATTATTATTTTAAGGTGTATAATTTTATTGAAATTAATCTGATTTTGTGAATACAAAATATAAGAATCTAGCATAATAGGAGTAATTATTATGTTTAGGACAACCAATTCATTCCTATCTCTAAGATTAAATGCGTAATACTTTTTATTCGGAAAGTAATTGAGTTAATCCCTTTAATGGTTATTTCTGTTTATAATATTGTTGTTATTTTTTAATAGTTTTTTAGGATTATACAATCACTCAAATTTTATATTACTATTTTCAAAATATACTAAATAATAGAAAAGATTACTTCTCTCCTAGTTGACATTCAATGACACATAATTTTTTTTATTCAATTCAGGTTAGAAATTTTTAATTATCAGGAAAAAATTATTATCGTTCTAGAAGAATTTGTTTTTGGGTTTTTTATTGTTTGATAACACATACTTTGTAAACAATTTTTTTTTAAAAAAAAAAATCTTCTTTCACCTACATAAAGCCTGATAATACAATCATATAGAGAGCAATAATATTCATCTTGAAAATTAAAAAAAATAATGCCTTTGAACTTAATAGAATTATTTATTTTAGAACAAGTATAGGCTTTCTACATAAAATTAATGACATTAATTCTATCCTCTGTTCGAGCTCCATAAATTTCCAGATATCTCCAACTATTCTTTTCAACATCATAAAAGTTCAAAAAATAAAATACTATTTTTCATCGCAACTAAAAAATCTCCATCACAACAATCATAGAATCCTTGAGGTGGACAATATTTTGGTTTCTATATATCTTACACATCTTTCCATTGGCGAGGATTGTGAATGTCATGACTGTTCCATTCTTCTTTTTCAAAATTTTATAAAATCCACAAGTAATTTTGACTAGTGAAATATCCTCAACAGTCTAGAAATGCTATTTTTCCCATCACTTTAATCAAATTATAATCAAACATATTGTCACATATATCATTATCCAATTCAGTAAATCTGAAATTTTCAGCTCTTATATCAAATGGTGCTATTGATTTCTTCGAGTAATTCATCGAATTGATAACTCTTTTAATTGAGTAACTTTTTTTTAAAACATGGGAGATAATTTAAAATACCTTCATTTTTTGTTCATGATTTGTCTATGTTTAAAGCAAAAATAAATTACAGTACATGCCACGTGAATTATTAGTTTGCATTACATCTTTGTACATATTTTTTAAGAGTTCACGACCTACTGAATAGTAATTTGAAGATTCAAATGAGTGAGATACTTTTCTCTGACAAGAAAGAAGTACCATTTTTCTTGTACTAGGTTTGGAAACAAGTTATTTTTCATACTTTCATATATTGTATGCATACTGTATATGAAATATTGACTGTGACAATTAAAATTCCATCTAGATGTTTTTCCTTCTTCTTTTAGATCTACATCGTATAGATATTCAAATTTCCCCATAAGGAATTTTGTTCCACCATGGCGAGTCATATAGCTAATGTCACGACCCTATCCACCCGATCGTGTGGGCACCTACCCTAAGACCTAAGTAGGAGAACCCTTGGTTCCCAAAGACATGAAACATCATGGAACATAAAGGAAAACTGATAATAAAGATATTAAAGGAATTCTTAATTAAAACCCTTGACAAAATTATTGAGTTAAGACTTGTAAAGTAATTAACACACCCAAAGTTCTAGTCTAAACAGGTAGAAGAGATTGCTAAAAGTACAAACTCGCCATAAATAATAAGAGACCCAACTCCCACCATGTATAATAAAAACTAGAAGATGTTGGAGAATTTCGTCGTCTTCACCTAATGAAACATCACCAACCTACATACAGACTATGTTAAAACACATAGCAATAGTAGTATTAGTACAAACACACATACTCGTAGGCATCGTCTATAAACCTGACGCCCACCACATAATATACGGAACTAACTTTTAAGGTCATATAATAAAACCCCTCGCTTCTCCACCTTTATCCCCTCAAGTTACATACGGATCACACTAACACCCTAATTACTAACCCTTTGTCCAGTCAACCTCCATACTATGTTCTTGATCATAGCATTATCATTCTAACACATATATAATTCCTGAGTATAACTACAACATGTACACTAACCCCACTCTTTACCATTTTAACACATGACTCCATCACTTGGTCATTAGAAATTTTTGAGACACTCATTCCCCACATCCGTTTAACCTCTTTATTAATAAAAATACCAAGTCGACCCGATGTAGAATTACATTAAAGCATTAGACCTCATAGCCCTAACACGACTCTGAGAAATAACAAACCAATTATAACTACATGCCATGTTCAATTTCACCTTCTCCATGAACACAATTATGTCATAAAGTTGGTTGTCTCATGGAACGAAAAACTAAACTATAAGAATATTGAAAAGTTGTACCCAATCCCATAGTGATGTCGTAACGTGGCCACCGATCCTATCTATATGTTGAAAAGTGGAAATCCTAACCCTGTAAGTTATGCCAGAACATGGCAATCCAATCCTAGTTAGTTATGTCAGAATGTGGAAATCTGATCCATGTTAGTTATGACGGAATGTGGAAATCTAATCCTAGTTAATTATGACAAAACGTGGAAATATGATCCTAGTTAATTATTTCAGATTGTGGAAGTCCGATCCTTCAACACACCCAAATCACAATCACAACTATATCATCACAATCATACGACAAGAGGTGATTCATGGCATATAGTCATTCATTTATCTCCTTTACAACATGTGTGATAAAGAATGCAACATTCACCCACACGTGTATCATACTGAAGCCAACAAACGTACCTCACACAATCATAGAATGGCAACCATAACCTATAATGGAATATCTATCATGCAAATCATTTAAACCCTTATTCGACCACTCTCAACCCTAATTCATCTTCTAAGGCTTCTTTCTAGGGTTTGGATCCTAGATCATTTGGTGTAGGAAGTCCTACACATAAATCCTACAATCAATTTACATATTATACGCAATGAGCACGAATTTAAACTATCCAATTAATAAAACCTAGCCTACCTGGGTGCCAAGCGGTTGCAAAAAAAATTTGACCTTGATTCCAGTTTTTTGGGCTTTGTGATGGTGAATTTGGCCAAGAATCTGCAAGATACAACAATTCTCCTGCTATAATTCTCCTTCTCATTCCTTTCCACGCTTTGAACAAATTTTTTGAGATTTAGAGGTTATTTTATGACTCATTTAGAAATTTTAGAACGATGAAGAAAAATTGAATTTCTCCTAATTTACGCTTTACATTGCCTATCTCGCCCTTGATCTAGATTACCCCATCCTAGCGCCGCCTCCTAGTAAAATCTGTCATGTTATGGAGTGACAAAGGCCCATAACGATACTTTTTGGTCGTTATAGTAGATAACAGTTTGCCCCTCGTTCATCCTCGAATGACCAGTGTACCGGATATAACCATACTTTTCAATTTATTGACTTAACATAAATACTTTTCCAGATGCCCAATTGAAAAATACAAAAATATACGAAGAATAAAATATTTTAAATTACACAGACTAGCCCACAAGAGCGAGAGCATTCCCGCTGAGGCGGAGCCACTGTGCGGGAGATCGTGAAACAATAAGGACGGGGAAAATAAATTTTCCCCCATTTCCTTGTATTCCCTTCAAACTCCCTCCCAAAGATCCTCTAAGCTGAAATCTTTACAACGTCAAATTATGATAAAATTCTCATCACTCACCCTCTTTAATTCCGTTACTGGGCTAAACAACAATTGCATGTTGTTCTCGGATTGCATAAAAATGGTTTTTCTAATCGATATATAGAAATATACCTAGATTTCTAGATTTATAGAAAAACGTAGCATAGGTACTTCGCTTACATCCCCAACGTATTTGTAATGTCTTGGGCATATGGATTCTGTTAATACAAGATTGATTTAGCATAAAATGGGTGGGGGAGTTGAAAGGTCTTCATGAATAAACTCAAAATTTGAACTATATTTAAGGGTTGTTTTGTTAAAATAATTACATAATTATGTTATAAAGTGGTTTATATAGTCTAATATACAAAACTTCTATCAATATGGAGGCTTTTTAGGATGAAGAGGCTCCATAATCGTGGTTGGTGTGCATCTGAAATGAAGGAAGCTCTAGCACCCTTAATCACACTTGGCGGCATGCATAATCATGCTAGAGCAGGATTGTGGCTTCTATGACAGGATACACCAGACCAACTGTCATGCACCCTT